GGGGGGGGTCTACCGGTTCCTGGACCTGGGCGGGTGGTGTGTAGGTCCCTCTGAGAGGCAGTGCCAAGCCGCCTCGCCGCCGCTGTGGCTGGCAGTTTGCAGTGCGCGGCGCATAGCAGCAGGGCCGTGCGAACCTCCCGATGCAGCACTGCGGGAGGCGTTCGAACGACACCTGGGGAAGTCTAGACACCATGGAAGGAGAGCAAGATAGCGCCCCATACCACAGGCTACGAGGTGCCTCCTACCTGCGCGAACGCAGCCCCCTACCCCTGCTCCCTATCCAGTCCCCCTACCCCCTTCCCCGCGGCGCTGGACAGGAGGGCGCTGCTTGTCTGAAGGGGAAGAGGGGGGGGGGACCTGATGTGTTCTGTCCGTCAGTCACGGTGAGATATGAGCGCGGCCCATGCACTCTTGTTGCCAGCTGGCCACGGTGAAGTAGAGGATGAGGAGAGAGGGGGGAGGGGGGTCAAACCCTGTGCCCGAGGCTTCACCTCTGGGCAGACGGACCACATGGATTGAGCCCCTGAAGGCTACTGGAGAACCAGGTCAATAAACACTAAACAGTCTGAAATCTATTTCTCCGCACAAGCAATCGTGTAGCGAGAATTCTACTGTAAATTTCCTCGCCCGCCGGAGGACGGGGTCTTGATATCCTCGTTCGATAAGAGCGATAGTTTAAGAAAACTCACCCTGTTTGAGTGATAATTTGGAAACCTCTCTATTTTTGAGTGAAGATCACCGCTGTTTATTTGAGTGAGAAGAAAACAATTTTTAACGTAGTATTCGTTAGTTTAAATATTTCCGGGAACTTCCTCACCCCCTTTAAGTTTAGAAACACCAGAAAAAAAATTCCTTCTTTTTTTTCTACCTTTAAATTCTAAAGAAGGGCCCCGAGGAAGAGCCTAAAGAGCCTTTGTGTGTCACCTCTTATTAAAATCCGGTTGCTTGCTGCGTAAGCTGCGACTTCTAGTCTACTAGATCCAGTCCCAATTCGGATCCGGGCCACCAGGGACAACATTGTAATCGTCTGGTCTGACAGGGTTCCGCCTGTAGTGCAGCGGGTGTGAACATGTCGTTCATTTTTCATCGCGTGCTGAGCTCCAATGCGATGACTGAGCTGAGCCATCCAACTTTCTGAGAGTGCCTTTGTGCCAGGCATGATTTTACGCGGCGGACTTCCCTCACCAAGGGAAATTCTTTTGTTTTAAAGTATAATGTACTTAAAATGAAGAGTTTTCCTTGAATTTAGGTAAAATTTTGAAGATGATATCTTAAAACTCTAACAGTAAACAAAAATACATACAAAGATAATGTTTGCCAGCTAGCTTTTAACTATCGATAGAGAAAAAGAGAAGCATGCTACAGACCAGAAAACTATATATTTCCTTATGTTGATAAACATATTTCCTTATATGTATTTTACAAAAAAGAGAAACGATCTGTTCACCCCCCCCCCCCTCGCTGTGCCTTCTATCGCCAAACACTTGACGTGTAGGGACTGTTCCTGGTCTGCGGGGTGTCCAGCTGACGTCCTGCAGGCGCGTCCACTCGTCCAGCAGGCGCTGTTGGACTCTTCCGCTGCGACAGGACAATGGGTGCAGGCTTCTGCTGTGGTGCGAGCGGATGGACCTAAAGGAAGGGAAGGAGCGGGCAAGTCTACTTAGTCCAATGTGCTGAGTTACTGTTAAACAAAAAACCTTCTGTAATTAAAACGCAGTATGTATGAAATAAGGAATTATCATTGTACTTAGGAGAAACTATGTGTAACTTTTGAATACACGGGAATTAACAATGACATTTCAAATAATCATGCAAGAAAACACGTTTTGAAACTGTTTGCATGTAGCTTGTCACTTTATTACCATACTTAGTAAAGTTAACATGTCGTGAAAGAAAAGTCCACTATTGTCATATTCCAATTGTGCAAAAATTAACGATCTCACTTTCGCTACAAATTATTAAAGGTATGGAAGGGGTATGTCCGTGATTTTATGATAAATTTCTTTTTGCACAGCTTCGACGCCGGCAAGTCGACGAAGGGCGCGAGCAAGCTACGACGGGACCTGATAAACGCGGAGATTGCCAACCTGCGGGATCTGCTGCCGTTGCCGCCCTCCACCCGGCAGCGCCTCTCCCAGCTGCAGCTCATGGCGCTCGTCTGTGTGTACGTGCGCAAGGCCAACTACTTCCAGCAAGGTGAAGTACCCATACCCATCCCCCTTATATGTTTATACTTCATTTTGTGTAATGTTTATTTTTCCTAGTTTCGATTTTTCTGTAAATACGTATTTAATTGACCTGGCAAGTCGTAAAAGCTTTTATTCCTTTAAAATAAATTGCAAAAGTTCGTGGGCTTTAATTTGGCATTCATCTACTTCTGTTTCATAAACCATAGATTGCTCTTTCACTGCTAGGGTTATTAAGATGGGTGGGCAAGTCCCCCTTATACCTTTCGCTGTACGCACGAACGCGGCTCATGCTCATGATCTCTAACGCTTGTGATATTCTCTAACGCCCAGTTCGAATTGCAAGCGGGCCGCGCCACGTCACCCTGGCTGGCCAGCGTGATAAATGAGGTAATTTAAGCGAGTAGAATTATTTACGGGAATGGCTTTTCGTTGCGGTTTGCAATTCTTCTTAGGCCACGGTAACTGCTCCAATTAGTACACCCCCACATTAAATATTCAAGCAAACTATTTTTTTTCCTGTTTTTGTTTTTGCATCGGGTTTCATGGTGGTGAATGTTACACTTGTTTCCGGCAATATCTGATGTTACGGAGGAGTCTGCGTCTAGTTCATATCGCCACGTATGGCGGCTTCTTTGTACCTTTCTCTTGTTTGATTCATTTCTTTCCCCAGGAA